TAAGCAGCATCCTCCATGAGAACAGTCAGTAAGCAGCATCCTCCATGGGAACAGTCAGTAAGCAGCATCCTCCACAAGAACAGCCAGCAAGCAGCATCCTCCACGACTTCTGCTCCAGTTCTCGTCGCCAGGCTCCTGCCTGGAGTTCCTACCCTGATTTCTCTGGAAGATGGACTACAAGCTATAAGCGGAAACAAAGCCTTTCCTCCCCAAGCTGCTTTCTGCCATGGTGCTTTATCACTAAGGCACCAGCTCTTCTGCACCTGGCACTCCTATGAGGGGACCGGCAATCTCCACTGCTACCTGGGCATCATGATGAGTCCTAAATGCCACATCAGGCTAAACAGCCCATGAAGGTAAATGGTGACGGGTCTGGCTGGGTGGTTAAAGAAGTTACTGTCCTTAGACAGAGCAGCAGTCTGGCTCCCGAGCCTGTTCCTGCTCACACAGCTCACCCTGGCTCCAATCCTGCAAGGCTAAACGGAAGCAGGAATCACACCAGAGGAGCTCAGAGGCTTTCCAAAAGACCCAGGCAACCTTGGAAACACAATAATATTGTGACATTTTGAACAAATTTAACAGCTAGCATGTTACCTGGGAGAGTAAGAGCGCCTGAGAGTCTTGTGGGAGGGAGCGGTGGGAATGGAGTTAGGCTGAGAAAAGGGAGGTGGGGGCTTCGATAGCCCATCGGCACTCCAACCCCACAACCGACTGCAGTGATCAGAAGAGGAAAATCAGAGAGAGAAACACAGAAGCAAAGGGGAGGGGAGGAAGAAGACACTCCACAGAGTCCATCAAATTAGCTGGAGCAACAGTTAGTGCTTCACACACAGAGGAAAAGAACAGGCTCATTTTACACCTTGCTCCTTAGTAAGACTGGCTTTATTCTTTTCTTTCCCAACCCTGGGCTAAGCTGACGTCATTAGGAGTCAACTGAGATCCCAAGTTTAGCTGTGTACATACCTGTGAGAGGACACACCTGCCTGCCTGGGCTGGACATGCACTGGAAGACTGAGGAGAAACTAAGGCTGCTCAGCTTACCACCCTAGCGGTTATTTCAGAAAGGACCAGGGGTGGTGCTCTCAAGACTTAATTCAAGTGGGACAGAAGCAAGGAGACCTCCAAGAGCACACTGTGTGCCTCAGCACCAGAGACAGACTATGCTCCCGGGCTGGGGGTCTGGGGAGACAGAGTTCAGAGGGCAGAGGACCGCTGGAGGGTGGTACCTGAGAGCAGTAAGTCTCAGGGGAGGAAACAGAAGAAGGGAATGAAATGGCATTCCTCTGCTTCTATACCTTCTAAAGGAAACTAAACTACATCTGGGAACACAGGTGTCCACTTGCTTGTCACAGTGTCACTACCTGGCCTGGGCTTGTGGAGGTCCCCAGGGAAAGGTCTAACTTGTGCTACAAGAGCGCAGGATGGAGTGAGAACATCCTGCCTGCTGCAGCAGTCTGAACACGTGTGTATGTACAGGGTCAGAGCATGGCCTCAGGGGGCACCAGTACTTAGGTGACTTCTATTTTTTTTATATGAGGCAAGACCTCCCCCTAGCCTGGAGCCTCACCAAGTAGGCTAGGTAGGCTAGCTCGCATGCAAGTGCTGGGAATTCATCTTCACCCCTCATCTCATAATTGCTGGGAATACATGTGCCATGTGCCTGGCCTTTTTAGGAAAGTTTAAAAATAGGTTCTGAACTCAAGTCCTCATGCTTAAAAAGCACAAGGTTGCCCTTTGGCGCCCACCAACACAGCTTTCACAGTAGGTGTCCCTAGGTTTTAGAGCCCCTGAGGAGGGTCACAGAACCCACTCTGTAGGGATGACACATCTTGGAGATGAGAGGGCATCATGGTACAGGGTCTACAGACTTTCTTCAAGCCACACTTGGGGCTGGGGGAAGGGGTAAAGGAATAGAGGTAATACTCAAGGCTGGGTCCGGGTGTGGGGCTGGGCTTGTGAACCCTGGCAATAGTCTACTTCACTCTGACAGGAGAAAGACAAGCGCCATCTGCAGGGCGACTTTAGCATGGCGCCCAGAGGTGACCATGCAGTTCCTTTCTGCTCTACAACTTGCTCATCAGGAGCACCCACCAGACCACAGCAAGACCCCAGACACTCGGAGCTGCAATTTGTTCTCTACCACAAAATCATAATGGGTAAAATGACCTAAAATATAAGGATTTGTTAAACAATAGAAAAAAACATAGGTTATAAATCTCTGCTCAAATATATGCTGCACGTGTTCATCAGCTGGGAATAGCTGTCAATCATCCCACTCTCGCAGTGTTAGTCGGCTGGCATCTCTGACCCCACAGGTTTGGTGGAAAGCTCCTCCTCACTGGACAGACCTAAAGCTACCATCATATCAGAGCTGTCACCACTTCTGAACCGACCCTTATTATTGCCATGAACCTTTGGGCAAAATTTTTTAAAAGTCCTAGTTCAGCTCATTTTTTTTTTTCCCTCTCCAGAGTAAAAAGCTAACACTTTACCATCAAGATCATGCTCAAAGGGTAGCACTTGGAAACATGGGAGCCTGCGCTGTGACGCCTATCACCTCCCGAGATGGGGCAAGCTGCTGGACTCAGCTGCTTAGTAGAAAAATGCATTTCTTTTATAATTTCCCTAGTAGAAAACACGCTTCCCAGCTGGGTGCTTCTTCCAATGATACAACCAGGTGGGGCAGTTTTTACCAGGGGACAAACCATCTCTCCTGGTGGGCTCAGGCTGGCCAGCTATCTAAGCACTAAACAGGGGCATTTTTGTTTTGTTTTGCTTTGTTAGACTGGATCAAGACTTTTAGAATCCAATCTGGGTTTTAATTTTTCCACACTTTTTTTTTTTTGAAAGAAAGAAACTACATTAACTAAGTATTCCCTAAAGATTTGGCCATAGGAAAATATGATGGCCACAGCCAGACCTTTTGGTACTAAAAAAAAAAAAAAAAACAAAACAAAACTCTTCACTTCTTTTGCCAAGGAGTTTTTTTTTATAAACAAAAGCTATGGTTAAGAATTAATAGAACGTTTAATGATTTGGAGATCTACGAAGATTAATTTCTAGCCAGCTCTTTGACAGATACTACTAGGACACCCACCCGTTTTTTTTTTTTAATTTTCCCCACCCATTTTTTAAACTTAGGCATTTAATAAAGTAATAAAATATTAATCTGAGGCATACTCTTTTCTTAATAGCTAATAATACAATAACTGAAAGATACATGTGAACTGCGCACTACGGAAGAACAGGTTCCTAATTACAGTGCAGAGCATCATGTCTAGATAAAACAAGAACTTGGAGAGAATATGCATTTTGCATAAAATCTTCACTGTCTATCGAACCCTGGTCACTCAGGACAAAACATATACTTCAGAGATCTTAGTATTCAATCACACTAGGAGGGGCAGACATATTGGCATCAGCTGCTGTCACAACTGTCTGACAACACACCGAGAACCTGACAACAGAGACCGAATCTGGAGATGATACTACAGATCAGGGAGTACATACAAAGCAATCCAAAACCAGCAAGGTGCTAAAACAGCTTAACACATGCTTTCAAAAAAAACAAACAAAATCCACGTGCTTTCCCCAAGAAAAAGACTTCTTTTGTTCCATAATACTGATGTATAACTGGGGCCTGAAGAGAACTCTAGAGGTAAGAAAGGAATTCATAAAAAGTTACATTTAAAAGCACCAATGTGCCAGGCTTGGTCTCACATGCCTGTAATCCCAGCATCAGGGGAAGTGAAGGCACAGGATCACGAGTTCAAGGTTAACTTCTGCTAAGTAGACAACCTGGCTAACTGAGACACTGTCTCAAAATGAAAACCAAGACAAAAGTTGAAAACAAAAATAAATTTGGTCGTCTTTCCAGCAGATGGAGACCTTTACCAGGAAGAGCACGTCGGGCACACTCTCATTGCATTTTAAGACCTTGTTCCAGCACCTTTAGGAAAAGTCTTTGAGATTCTCAGAGCCTAAAGATCTTGACTTCTTACAGATAAAACACAGCAGCTGTGGCCCTTGCTGAGCTAGAAAATTTGTGGTGTCATAGAGGCACCACTCTGAGAGCCAGGTAATGCCAACCCACGTGAGGGAGCCATCAGTCTCCCTGCAGCCGTCTAACACAGCCTGAGACAGAGCATGCTCTCCTTTGAAGCCACACCCCACTGTTGGGCATGGTGGTGGACGACTGTAATCTCAGCAACCTGGAGGCTGAGACAAGATATATATGGAAAGATCCAGGCCAGCCAGGACCACCTAGTAGACCCTGTCTCAAAAACAAAAATACAAACAAATAAGTAAGAAATGAGGCCCCTGACTCTGTAAGGCCATTGTGCATGGTTCTAACAGGGATCTGCACATACTGGACCTTGTGATGCCCAGATATACTGTCTGTCAGAGCAGCATCTGCTTTAAACAGGACACGGGCAGGCCTAGAGAGGTTCACCAGGCTTGGTGCAAACTCTAAAAAGTTTATTAATAACTCCATAAATACCATTAGGGCTCTCCGTCTCCTGGAGGACAGCTGACAGGTTTCCTCGGGGATTCATACGACCTCAGTTTTACAATCTACGAGGTACCAGGTCCAGTGTTCAGAGAACATGGAACACAGCTGTCCACTGTAGCACAGGCGTTAATCGTCAAAGACCACACAATCGCAGACAGAGGGAGGAGCAGAACCTACCCCTGACTCCTAGCACTCTGCTATCAAGCTTAAGTCTAAGCCAGGCTGCACAGAAAGCAGGGCATCTTCATTCTTCACTTGTGGAATGAGCTTACCTTGGAGAGAGTCCCCCATGGGAACAGTTGGTGGGTGAGGTCAGGGGGCTGGTCCTGCTGCTGGGGTGTCGGGAAGGCGTCCGGCCAATTGTATTGCTTGGAGATCCCTGGAGCAAAGGAGCGTAGGCATCATTGTCCAAAGGCTTTCTTAAAAATTCAAATCCAACCCCTCTTGTCTCTTAAGGCATGTGTAAATGGGTAGGACCCCAGCCCCCACCTCCACAGATTATTAGTTGCATGGATGGATAATTGTTCTGTAGGAATCCCTGGAGTTTACTGACAGTTGTCAGCTTACGGCAGCTAACACTGATTGCCAAACTGACCAGATCCAGAACCACGGAGAAGACAAACCACTAGACATGTGAGAAACCTTCAAGACTGGATTAATTGAGGTGAAAAGATTCTCCAAGTGCTGGCAGCATCATCCCATAGGTTGGGTGCCAGGCTGAACAAAAGCAGAGCAAGAGCTGAGCACCACCTCACTAAGAAAGTCACTACTTTCTGCTTCTTAACTACAGACACAGCTGCCCCTCAGGCCTGCTGCTTTTGCCATCCCTGGAAATGTGAACCAAAACAAATCCTCCCTTCCTTCAGTTCCTCTCGTCAGAGCAATGGAAAAGGAACTAATAGAGCCGGGCTAGAGTCATATGCAGAATTAAGCATTTCTCTCATTACGGGGTTAAAATATCTAAGACAGATCCAAAGAACGAATGAAATAGGAAGACAACTTGTAAACACTGCAATGACTCAACAACCTCACTCTAAGAAAAAGGCCCAAGATGAGCACCAAGTCCATTTCCCTCCAGGGCGTATACCAGCATCAGAAAGGACCCCAGCCTTCATAGGCTCACAGGCTATTAACCAAGAACAAGGACGCTGGCTGTCCATCAGCACTGCAGCTGGGTGAGGGTCACTTGGCAGGTCATGACCAAATCACAACCAGGGCACTTACCACACCGGTGTTACTGGAGTTCTTGAGGTGGTTATGCAGGAGTTTGGTGGCACCATCCTGGAATGTTTTTGGCAAGGCACCAAGTAACATGGTAAATTCAGGAGTGTTCAATTCAAACAGAGAGATGAGCACAATCTGTGCTGCCTGGGAAGAGAAGCACAGTTCAGAAACGTCTGTGCACCACGGGCAACCGAGTGTTCCCTGACGTCCTTTCTCAAGGAGAGCGCTTCTGTTTAACTGAAGTCTGGAGAAAATGGCGGCACGAGCCACAGAGAGCCCAGTTTTAATCTGGAACATTCCCTGCTTCTGTTTTAATGCCCTGGCCCAACACATTTCTTTGGTTGTCTAGTACTAGGAAGGAAGTCAGCAAACAGAACAATAAAAACACACTAAATATTTAAGATTGCTCTCACTATAGGGAGAGCTGGACAGGCTAGCAATGTACTTCTGTGCACCCTGGGAAGAAAGCACACAATAATTTAAGTTCTAACCCATTAGACTCTTTTTCCAAGTAATCCCAATGTAAAATTCAATATATATCATATAAATTATGTACATGTACAGATTTAGTTGGTGAGTGTGCAAATGTGTGTGTGTGTACCTACAGAGGCCAAAAGAGGGTGTTAGATTCTGTAAAGCAGGAATTATAAGTAGTTGTGATCCACCTAATATGGGTACTAGGATCTAAAGTAAGGTCCTCTGCAAGAAGAGTAAGTGCTCTTAACTGCTGAGTCATTTCTCCAGCCCCTTTTACTTTAAGAACAAATTTATTTTTATTATTTATCTGTGCGTGTTTGTGTATACACATGTACACAAGTGTGCATATTTCTGTAGAAATCAGAAAAAGGCATTGGTATCTCCTGGAGCTGGAGTTACAGGCATTGTAAACCACCTGATGCTGTACTTGGATCTGAACTCTGGTCCTCTGCAAGAGCAGCAAGTGCTCTTAGCTGCTGAGCCACCATCTCCAGGGCTCAAAAGTCAAACTTTGGCTTAAAGATGCTTACAAAGTACAGTCTTCTTACAACCAGATCTAAACTTCAGAAATTAAAAATAAAACTTAAGTATATGCTTTTAAAAAGATTTCAAATCAAAGTTTTACACCAAGGCTGTTATAGCTGTACACCTCACAGAGAAAGGAATTCTGTCAAGCTGGCAGACACAAATTAAACCTTGACAAATGTTCAGTGTTGATGCTCGGTTGTAAAATTTTGGATGGGGAGAGAAGGACACAGTTTTCTCATTTACTGAGAACAGTAAACGTGCTTTTACAAAACAACTCAAGACAAGGTATTGTGAAATCTTCAATTTTTTTGTGTGTGCATGTGTGTATATGTGCCATGTGAGGGCCAGAGGACCTACCACCAGGTTTTTCAGGTGCTGTCTACCTTGCTTTTTGGACAGGGTCACTCAGTGAACTGAAGTTTACCAAGCAGGCTAGGTTGGCTGGCTAGGGGTCCCCAGGGAGCTTCTTGTCTTACCTCCTCTGAATGGCAGCAAATACCATAATCCAGGGAACAATCTAACTGGGCCCTAGCTCAGATGAAGGTACCTCCCTAAGTCCTGGATACTTATGATTTTGTCTTTCTTTTCCCTTGCTATTCTATTAAATACGGTAGTGAGCTGTACTCGGAAACCATTTCACTGGGAAGGTGGTTAAACACACGCACACATCATTACATCATTTTCAGTGGGCTTACGGAAGTAACTGGTACGGACAATGTAAAGGTAGACAGGAGGTGAGACTGGAATTAGTACATGGGCTCCATCTACCTGTTTACTACTTTCTTCCCAGTTTCCTTCTCCAGGCCCAGAGCAGGAAGGAACTGACCTAGTAGGGGCATCCTCCCCTGCTCGACTACGCTGACGCTGAGACTGGCGAGCAGAAGAGGACAGGGTGCATTAGAAAGTGGGAGAGGCCACTCAGGGCTCTTTGCTGGCTCAGAGAGAGTAAAGCTTCATCAAAGCTAGGGCCCGTGAGCCAGAAGTCAGGGACAGTGAGATCTCAGCACTCAGAGGTTTGCTGGGTTCCTCATAGAACCACAATCCTCCCTGCGGGGAAGAGAATTCTTGTTTCCTGTGACGTGAAGGGTGATTGATCCTAGGTCAAAGTGAGACATGGGAGGGAGTCACAGTCACGGTCGAGTTCAGAGCCAACTCTTCCTTTTCAGATTAGGCTATGCTGCTTCTACACACACACACACACACACACACACACACACACACACACACACACTTAACATTTACATTTATTTCTCTCTGTGTGTGATGGGGTGTGCACATACACTACAGCATGCATGTGGGGACTCGGAAACTTGTAAGAAAACTGGTAAGAGTTGGTTCTCTGCTTCTATCATGTGGTTTCCAAGAATCAAAAACGGGTCATCTGGCTTGGTGACAAGAGTCTTTACCTTCTGGACCATTTTGCTCATAATCATTTAGGAATTTCACCCTCCAAAGATCATTTATATACTTTTCCTGATGCAGCCAATGACATTTTTATACTTCCTAAGTTTCTCTGCTATATCTTCATCTCTAACATTTCTCAAAACATTTGGAAGCCAAGGAATTACCAAGCAACTGTGAACGGTCCCTGCTAGACCACTGACAAATGACACAATGCATTGACTCAGATTTGAATCCTAAAGTAGGAACGCGCAATTAAATACTCGGGCTGGGCATAGCGGTGCATGCGTCTAACCCCAGTCCTGAGAAAGCTGAGGCCAGAGATCACAAACCCCAGGTCAGTTTGAGCTTCATGAAACCCTGTCTCAAAAAAAATCTAAGGGCTGGTGGTGCAGCACAGTGGTAGAATATATTGCCTAGCGTTCCAAGGGCCCGGGTTGAGTTCCAGCACCATATGTGCATAAACTCACACACAAGAAAGAAACAAGCCAATACATTTTGTGGGAAAGATTCTATGGCCTTTAACTAGATGGACTTTCATAGATCACATGACTTCTTAAGTGCTGGAAAGAGCTGGGTCTTCAATTTGTTTCCTAAACAGCAGCAGCAAATCCTGAACAACCCTTCTACAACAGCAAATGAGGCTATAGGATCTGTTTCTTACAGTGGTCAAGCCTGCCCTAGATGCCCCGGACAAGTATTATCAGTCACTTGCAGATAAACAAGAACTCAGGAGAGTAAATGAGCCGCTCAGCTGCACAGGCAGAAGTCAAAAGGAGGCCAAACAACAAACAGTTTCCATGGTAATACGCTTCACTGCGTTCCACAACACAGTATACTGGGAAAGGTGTATTGACTCCTAAAGTCTGCCTGGCACTCCTGCACAAAGAAAAGGTTAATGTTAAAGTAACAGTCCAGGTAAACTGCTGGGTGTCTCCGGCAGCCTTCAACCTGCCACAGTCTGGTAGGCAATACCCTTTGAATGCTGTGAATTTGGTTTTGGTTTTGAAAAATGACTTAAATATTAAAATACCCTTCTTTTGCCACGTGAAATATCCCTAAAAATGAAGTTAACAAAGGAACAAAAGGAATATTAAAAGTGTTGAAAGCTAATGAATCTGAACTTCAACAGCGTACATCAGCTTAAACTCCTTCAAAAGCGCGGTTATGGGTCAGTGGCTCTGTTGGCAGAGGGCTTGGCCAGCAAGCATGAGGCCCTGGGTTTGATCCCCAGAACTACATAAGCCAGGTGTGAGCCTCAAAAGTACATGAACTGGGTTCAGTGGCAGAGGCCTGTAATTTCAGAACTTGGAAGGTAGAGGCTGGTGGAGAAGTTCAATGGGGATAGATGGGGGAGTGTTAAGAGCATACAGTGTTTTGGTAGAGGACCCAAGCAAGCACCCATTACTAGCACCCATGCCAACGGCTCAAAACTATCTGTAACTCCAACTTCAGGGATGACGGCTTCTTGTAGACTCCATGGGCAGCTGTGCTCACGCACCCTAACCCTACATTAGTACACATAGTTTAAAAGGTAACACAGAGGCTGGAGAGCTCCCCAGCCTGCTCAGGGTTTCCTATAATTCTCTATGACACATGATTATTGTCATTAGAACCTGGGTCCTGAGAAGTACCTTGCTGGCTTCCAGCAGTGGAGTCCCATTCTTGGGGCACCTGTGTTACACATGACCCCTCATTCCCATAGGTGAGCAGAAGCATCAAACGAGAAGTTTGCCCAGCTCACACCTGCTGCTGTCATTGGCTGCTGAGCTTCCAGGTTATGGATAAAGGAAAGTGGATAACTGAGAACACTGCTCACCATCTCAGAACTCCAACTTAGCTGTGCCTGGGTTTCATCAGTCAACCGAAACCCCTCGGCCTGAGGCTGAGAGAAATCATCTCCATCCTTGGCTCAGAACAGAACAGGCTGGCCACATCCCAGGAATCACTGCTGGTGGTTGTTTGAACAAAAATGGCCCCGACAGAGCCAGAGGGAGTGGTGCTATGAGGAGGTGTGGCCTTGGTGGAGGAAGTGTGCCACTGGGGGTGGGCTCTGAGGCTTCAGAAGTTCAACCCAGGCCCAGTGTCTCTTTCTCTTTCTGCTGCCTGTCAATCCAGATGTAGAACTCTCAGCCTCTCCAGCACCATGTCTGTCTGCACACCACCATGCTTCTCGCCATGATGAAAATGAACTAAACCTCTGAAACTGTAAGGTGGCTGCAATGGAATGTTTTCTTTCTAGGAGCTGCCATGGTCATGGTGTCTCTTCACAGCATCAGAACCCTAAGACAGTGAGTGCTCTTCAGGGAAGAGTCTGAACTTCCCCCGGAACGGCAGCAGCTGGAGCAGTTCCCAAAAGCCTCCCGGCATGGGTAAAGTACCTGGCTGGCCAAGCAGATGTGACCTTCAGGTTGTGAGGCGAACAAGAGGCTGGATGGCAGAGAGATGAACCCTGCTGGGGAGCTGTCAAGATGAGCATACACTAGCCTACTTTTTTACATGGGTTCTGGGGGTTGTCCTCATACTTTCGAGGCAAACACTTTACTGAATGATGTATCTCCCTAACTCACAAAGCTTTTATATAAAGCAAAAGGAAATGACAGCACGTGCCACATGTGAAACCTAAGCAGAGGCTGTGATACTGGTAGAAAGAGAAAGGGGACAGCTACAGTGACCCAGAGTGACTCACTGCAGTACATTCTGTGGATATCAATGAGCAACATTTCTGGGAAGCAGAGCACCACCTAGCAAGAGGTCAGCAGCCTGTGCTCCACTGTTGGAGATGCACCATATGGGGATTTGGAAGAAAGCAGGAAATAGTCCTGTGAGCCAGAAAAGCAATAAATAATAATAATAATAATAATAATAATAATAATAATAATAACAACTTGTTGTTAGGTGTCACACAAAACAAAACAAAATAAAACCAAACCAAAAAAAAAAAAACCCATAATACTGAGGCTGGGGAGAAGGCTCAGTTAGTAAAGTGCTGCTGTACAAGTATACGGGCCTGAGTGCAGATCCCCCAGCACCTAGGGAAAAGCATGGTGGTCTATGTGAATCAGCCCAGCACCAGCAGGAAGGGAAAGGAGGATCCCCGGAGCTCACTGGTCAGTCACCATACTTAAATTGACTAGCTTCAGGTTGAAAATTAAGGGAGAGGGAGAGAGAGAGAGAGAGAGAGAGAGAGACAGAGAGAGAGAGAGAGAGAGAGAGAGAGAGACAGACTGAGGAAGATACCTGATGTTGACCTCTGGCCACATACAATGCACAACACATGTGCATAGATAGGGACATACATGCACACGTAATGTGGGAGTCCCCTCTGTATGCTGTGAATACCACTGGTTAATAAAGAAACTGTCTTGGGCCTGCACAGGGAATAGAGGTAGGTGGGGAAAACTAAACTGAATGCTGGGAGAAAGAAGGAGTTAGAGAAAAGCCATGTAGACCCGCCAGAGACAGATGCCAGAACTTTAGCCAGTAAGCAACAGCAATGAAAATGGGTTAAATTAAGATATAAAAGTTAGCCAATAAGAATCTAGAGCTAATGGGTCAAGCAGTGATTTAAATAATATGGTTTCTGTGTGATTATTTCGGGGCTGAGCAGCTGGGTGGCTGGGAAACAAACTAACGGCCTCATTATAACACACACACACACACACACACACACACACACACACACAATCTGAATTCTACCTGAATCCCATTCTACTTCCCAAACCAAAGAGGGTATGTTCTAGGATGGCATATAAACAGAAAGATTTGGCTATTTTAAAGTCAGGAGTCTGTTGTGTCTTTTAAATGTTTCAGTTACATTTCCCTCCCAGGCTCCTCTGCAGCCAGTGAGCCCAGATCACGGTCCCTCATCAGAGCACCTTACCAGCAGACACAGAATCGTCAGTGCTTTGTTATCGCCACGGTTGATCCACCAGACCGGGGTGGGCGGAGAACAGAGAAGCAGACACAGCACAGCTTTGGTGACATGGGTGTATAGGGCAGTGTGCACATTCCCAGGGGAATGCCTGTGTACACCTAGGAAGAGTTTGCAGTCTTGCTGCAGCTCTGTGAACATACCTTTCTCACGTCTGAACTCTTTGGTTCTGTAGTCCATGTTATGATTCTAGAAACAGCAAGCCTTGTTTCGCTGGAGTTTACAAAATCTGTGGGGTCCATCTGCCTGGCCAGAGACTCGATGTATTTCAGGATTGCGACTTTGACCTGAGAGACCAAGGATTATGAAGGTTAAGAACATGTCACAAACTGAACAGAAGTCTCATCTGGTGGTCAGCAAACAGTGCACACCACGAGGGCAGAACCTCCCGCTTCCCCAAGCTAAGTTTCCACACGGACTGACAGCCTAGTCTATATCCACATGTTCAGATCCTTCTTTTCTTTTAAGATTTATTTTTATTTTACATACATTGGTATTTTGCCTGCATGTATGGCTGTGTGAGGGTGTCAGATTCCCTAGAACTGGAGTTACAGCTGTGAGCCACCATGTGGGTGCTGGGAATTGAACTCAGGTCCTTTGGAAGAGCAGCCATCTCTCCAGCCCCATTCCGAAAGTTTTAAAGAGAGTATTTCCCCCACTGGCTGCGAGGCCAAGCAAGCCAGTCCTTGCGCCAGTTCTGTGAAGCACTCTCGGCCAGGTCCTGAGAGGCAATTCCCACCTCTCCAGCTCATACTCTGACCCAGTTTCTTCACTGGTTTTTGATCTCAGGAGAAAGGGACCCATCCTAGAGCCTTAAGAAAAGTCAGTGGCCAAGGAAGAGACCGCATGTAGCCACACACCCCTTCCTTCGTATAATAATGTAACTGAGTTGTCATTACAGGTGTGACGATGCGGCTCAGAGAATGTTCTACTGAAGGTATTCTAACAAGGCACGGATCCCCTAGTCACAGCACGAGCTGTGAAGACACTGTTGACAAGAACAGAATATGGCACAAGAGCTAGGCATCTGCCTACGCAAGCAACTAGTCATCTGGGACCAAGAGAAACGAGAGCATGTCCACAGAGAGCAGAATCTGACACATCACAAGCCACACGGGAAAAGGGACGGGAAAAGCAAGACGAGCATCCACTGACCTTGAGGTTTGGAGTTTGAGTCTGATCCACAATAAATCTCATTAAAATGTTAAATTGTTGATCAAATGGAAAAGAATCCCTAGGACAAAAAAAAAAAGAAAGAAGAAGAAAAAGAAAAATATCAAAACTAAAAACTAGCTCTTATTTTTAAAGAAATTGATTACAGAAAAGAATATAAAACTATACAATATATCCTGATACACACACACAAAAGTACATTCACATTTTTATGGATGGTGCTTTTCATTTCATATAAGTACTAAACTAATATTTACATATAGAAAGTTCAGGGAGAGGAATATAGGTCACTTTGAGTGCTACTTTAAAACTGAAGACTAGGCAGAGAATGCAGGGAAGCAGGCAGCCTCCTGCCTCCCCCTGCTTTCTGAACGCTGCTTCCTGGAAGACTGCTGACCCCATTCCCACTTTCCTTATGCCCTTGGTTGCCCCCACTCTGCAGAGACCATGTAGATGTCTTTCTAGTCCTGTATGTGCAGGTGATCCTCCTGCAGTCCCCACAGAAGAATGTCCATGCAATGCTCAGTGCTGGAAAATTCTCTACACAGCTCTGGCTCACACAGTTGCCTCTTGTTCAAGCAGCCCCTCCTCTTGCCTCAAGCCTGTGACTAAGCCCATGCCCCATAGTCACTGCCCAGGTCTGATCCAGTCAAGTGACCCTGGGGGCTTTGGCTAGGGAACATCAATCCTTTCATCCTTACGCTGTGGCGCTCACTACTGCTGGTTTAAAATTGCACAATGGAACCACTCGGAAGTGATGTTATCCTCATCACAGGAAAGATATAAGACTGTTTTCTTTGGACTCTCTAAAGAGACTTCCTACAGAGGTATGGGAAAGGGACTGAGAATGCAGGTTTGAATCTCCAGTGCAGGAAGAAATGGTATCAAGTGTTCCTAGACTGAAGTGGAAACGGAAGAACCAATACAAGAAAACTATAAAGTTTTATAAAGGAGAACACACTACAAACCAGTGTTTTAATAGTAATCACTAATAAAGAGTAAACTTAAGCTAAGTGGAAGAGCACCTACTTACCATGTGCAAAGTCTTGGGATCCCCCCGCCCTGGAAAGTGATAAAACTGCCCAAGAGCACCCGTATTTGCACACCTATTTCTAGGCTGGACTACAGTGGGCTACTTCAGGGACAAGGGACACTTTAGTGGCGCTGCTTCAGTAGCCAACAAGCCACAGAGGAGTCTTTCCTGCTTCTGCCGCCAGCAGAGGGACACAGCTGGGGACGTTCAGGCAGGAAATGTGCCTGTTTCAGGCACAGCTAGAGGCAAGGGAGCCAGGGAAGATTAGAAAAGTGGACCAAGTTGTTCCTGGTGAAGAATCACTGATAAGATTCAGCGTCGTCCAGGACCTGCAGCTAGGCCATCTTTCCAGCAGTTTCTGCACCTAACTGACCTTTCCCACAACAGCTACGCATCATAGTTGAGTGAGTGGGGGGTGGCACAAATGCCTTAAACACACACAAATTTACTTAAGTTTTCTGATTTTGCTTGTGCATGTGTGTGCCTGTGAAGACGTTGAGTATCTGCCTTGATTACTCAGTTTACTGAGACTGGATCTCTTGAACAGAGAGAGCGCTCACCAATTCTGGCCAGTCTAGCTAGGTTGCCCCGGAGATCGCCTACTTCCCAAGTTCTGGGATTACAGGTGAACACCATGCTGGTTTGGGTTGTACATGGATTCTGGCAATCTCTTCGGTCCTCGGGCTTGTGGGGAAAGTGCTGAGCCATCTCCCCAGCCTAAAATTAGGACTCTTACAAGAAAAGTAATTAACAAGAGCTCACAATTCTATTTTCCTCCTTGTGTGTGTGTGTGTGTGTGTGTGTGAAGTGGACAGGGGTAGAGAGGAGAGAGAAAAAATTCACTGAGTTACAACTAATTGTATCACCAAAATTTAGAACTGTAATCTTACTATTTTCACGTTTCAAAAAATTGTAACAACTATTGCATTCATAAATTTGACTCAAGCTGAGACACCCTGGACTAACTCTGACTCACAAATGTTTTATTTGGTCTTTACAATGTCATAAAACATCTTTAAATATGTTACCAAAATCTATGTTTTTGATTTTTTATAAAGTCTAGGAGCACTAGATCCATATTTTAGTAAGACCACAGTGGAGGCAGCTGTCAGGCTGTCAGGGACCCTCCTTCCTACCTGCACAGCTAGAGCTGACCAGCCTCGCTAAGGCCTCAAGGCACCGGTGCACCGCACCGGTCGCCAACTTTGCTAAAATGAGTCATCCAGTGCAAAAGGACTTTGGAAGCCTTATCACAATGTATGCTACTCTTCTTTCAAAATCAAAAGAAAATGTGTTCAAAATCTGTGCAAGCTACACAAGTCAGCGGGCTAAGACATCCATTGGTAGCAGCGTGCAGAGTCACAAATCCCACATAGCAGCTGCAAGCATGGATGTGTTGGTGGAGTGGCATATGCCAACTGAGCAAAACAGTGCAGGAGGGCAAGACACAACCCTACAGGGCAGTCTGGAATCATAGTGGCAGACAAAAAAAAAAAAAAAAAAAGAAAAGCAAAGGCAGAAATCCTAGCACCAATACTAACTGTGACCTTAGGCAAGTCAGGGTAGCTTCTGCTTCTCATTGAGAAATACCATTTCACCTCTGAGCTCCTTTGCTGTGAAAATCCCATGATACCTGGGGTCTATCCTATGTGAGATTTGGGTTTTATGAGAGTTAACTGCCCTGACGATGATGCCAAGTGTCTGGGAGTCACTTGCTTGTTCTTTTCAAAGATCTGAGTCTTCCTTTTGCCTATACTTTCTACCAAATCAGTCAGGTCACTGCCATCATTTTCTGAGATCATTCACTTCTAGCCCAGGCATGCTAAGGCCCCTCAACTGCACAGCTGACACCAGGCTTCTGCAGAGCGGCACAGCCTATAAACATTCCTGAGCCTCTGTAACACTTTTCTAAACTGAGAAGTGTGTGTGTGCGCGCGTGCGCGCATTATTTATTTCTTACTATTACTAATTTATTTTTGGGGACACACACAGTGCGTGTGGCCCCAAAAGTCAGCATCAGGTGCCATCCTCAGCCACTCCTCATCTGGTTTTTGAGGCAGGGTCTCTCACTGAACCTGGAGCACCCTCCTTTCCGTGCCCCCACCCCCACTCCCATGCTAGGATTATAGATTATAGGTGCAAACAGGATTCTGGAACCTAATGCTCATACGAGACTTTAGCACCAACTGAGCCACCTTTCTAGCTCCAGATCTGCCAATTTAGAGGTCCAACAAGATTTCTACATTATATATTGATAAATTCCTGAGGCAAATTATTAATAAACAAAGTATTAAAAATGAAGAACTTCAGAAACGTATAAACAAATCTTCTAAATAATCTCTCTAAATATTTTAGAAAAGAAAGGAAATTTTTTTAAGCTGCCTATATTCTGTAGGCATTCATAAAATATTGCCTACTCAGAGATGACACAGCACTCTCCCCCTAGACTGGTGAGACTCGTCAGCCAGAGTACGAGAGAGCGCACAGGCTCCTCCAGCAGCACCACAGCCAAGACCCTCAGTGCTCACCTGGTGACATCCAGTGCCTTCTGAACTTTCGCTTGCACAGATCCAAGTAAGTCTGCTCCCATTTTCTTCAGTAATTGTGTGAGAAGGACGAAAAGCCAGTCTTGCAAGTCATCCTTATGAATGATTATAAAATCCACAAGGGTCTCCAAAAACATACTGAAAACCTGCACAAAGAGAAACCAAGCCTATCACACCCTGCATTCAGGATCCCCCCCACAGCCCGAGAACATTGCAATTGCCCACCCGAGCTGGCCTAGCCCAGTCTAGTCACTTGGGTTAACAATGCTGGCTGCTCTCATAGAGACAGTGCACATCAGAAGACAGGGGTGGGGGTGGGGTGGAGGTGGGAGTGGTTGACACTTACTCTCTGTTGTGAATTCCACCGCACACCAGGGCATGCAACAAAACAAATTCCATGTTAGTCCACAGCAAAGGAATACCAGTTTCATGCAGTTTCTTTTAAGAATTCTGAAAAAACTACAAAATGATAAAACTCTCTTCTCCTGAATATAAACCTGTAACTGTCAGTACAAAGAGAAGTAAGTTTAATCTTGGAGAGTCTTCTGAGAGAGAAAGAAAGACAGGGGTGGTGGTGCTTTGTTCTGATTTGATACTAGCCTGGTCAGAAGCCCTACTCAGGTTTCTGTAACCACTGACTTTTGTCAAGTAATTTGACATGTGCTAATTTCAGATGTTATGAAGGGTTATCAGGGGAGCTACTAGAAATTCCTGCTAATTCTCACGCCACTATGGAGTTACTCTGCCACCCGAGGTAAACAGCGCACAGTAGGTATCTCTAAGCCTGTGTCAGGGAAGGAAGTGGCACGGGACTCCCCAGGTCTGGTGCTGCGCTGGGACACCCACCCCACACGTCGTCAGGTCTATCACGGCAACTATTCACCACCAGGGGTCTCCAGTGAGAGCTCTGAGAGGTGGGACGCCTAGCCTGGCTCAGGCAGCATAAATATGAACTAAACTGAGACCTCCAACTCACTGGACAAGAGCCTTCTGATGGAAACAAATTTCCTTCTTTATCCTCACATTCTGCTTCTGAATCAGCAATCTAGAGGTAACAGGTAACAGAAAGTTCATCAATGTGAAACCATCTAACATAACATCCCTTATGGTATAACTTACCAGCTACAGCATGCTTACGCTTTAAATCGTATTGCTCTAATACCTCCATAGAGAATAATCTTGATGATCAGATCTTAGGTTATCTAGGTAGCCTTTAAACTCAGTCTTTTGGGGATTTAAAAATGAATACTTTGAAGTGTGCTTTCTGGAAGGCCTGCCCGATGATTTAGTGAGGGCTGCCCAGGAACAAGCAGGAGGAGAGGCGCCCTGTGCTTGGTCCCTGTGCCTGTGTGAGTGCTTCCAAGGCAAGCGCCTGGTTTTCCCATATCCCTAGCTTGTAGCAGGAATTCAGGAAATGTGGAATGACAGGGTAGATGGGTAAATGGGTGGGCAGTTGAGTAGGTACACGGATGAGTAGATGAAAAGGTGGGTGGGTGGGGAGATGGATGGTAGGGGGTGCATGGGTGGATGGGTGGATAGATGGGTGAATGGATGAGCTGATGGGCGGGTGAATAGGTGGGTGAATGGATATTTACTACTTCAAGGACAATTCCTATAAGGAAGCAAGGATAGGAAAGAAGAAAGAAAGCAAGTTGCTGGACTCTCTGGCCACCACCGGCTCTTTTTCTCCCAGCATGGAAACTTTAGTGCCAGCATGTCCACAGTGCATTCAGTTCCTGTTCATTCCCACGCTCTAGCACCTATCTGTGTTTACCCTCTAGCCCCTCTTGTCACATCTCTTCATGATATCAACAGCCCTTACTAGTATCTTCCTAAACAACGGCATTTACTTAAAATACTGTTAATCAAGGTGCTTTTGTAAAGTGGTCCCTTTGAGCACTACTTCTAGAAAGGACTTTGTTGCACCCTTTGTATGGTTTCTCCTCAACAGTCCTCAAGTTTGGTGTCCATTGTCTTCCCAAAGGCAGGGTACCACCTAGGAGAACTCTATCCAGCAAGCTCTCGGGAACAGCCAGATTCCATAAGGGAAATAACTGAACTTGGTTTTCCAATAAAGGCAATAAATAAATACTTCAATTTTTCTATCTTATTCTATGAATACAAATTCTACATGAGATATCAAAGTAATCATATACATCTTTCCACTACTGTAACATTGTTAAAATGTACTATATTATATCCTGGAACCTAGCACCCTGTTTGGCTAAAAGGAGACAGAAAAAGTGCTTGCTGACTGGATAAAAGATTCCATCTGATTACTTTCAGGACACTCCTTATTCGAGGCACACCTAATTGGAAGTTGACAGCCATCTAATTCCCGAGAATTGCACTTAGGAGGATGTTAATAAAGATACTGGGGAATTCTCTCTCAACCTGGGGTGTATTACACAGTTTGCACGGCATGCAGACAGACTATGCATAAGGCCTGGTTACCTTGCTGTGAGGGTCAGCAAACATTCGGGTGAAAATCTCACACAATCTCTTCAATTCTACTCGACTAGAGGAAAAAATGGAAAGAAATGAGTTTAAGATGTAATATCACCAGTGTAACTAGTTACGGCTTTAAAAACCTTTTAATGAATCTTTAGTTATATAACAACAACAACAACGCCTATATCAAACGAATCATCTTATCTAATTCATGATGAAATTTAAGCTAGAGTCTTCAATTCATTCTAAGATGAGGAAACAGATTTGATTGCCACCTGGAAGGAGACAGATGCAAGGCAAGTCCCCTTACTTCAGCCTATGTCTGTTTTCCACCTGTCAAGCTAACTCTGTGTGTGTGTGTGTGTGTGTGTGTGTGTGTGTGTGTGTGTGTGTGT